GAGCTGGTGCAGGATCATCAATCACAATGATGCCACAGAGCAGAAAAAGATGAGCCCTCAGATAGCACCGAAGATAAATGGGGAAACTGACATGTGATTAAACTGGGATCCTCTGCCGGTGGCTGACAGCCCACTCTGAGTGCGAAGTTAGCACAGCCGGGCCTGGGCTCTCAGCACCCACAGAGGCACCTGCCTCACCTCCTGCCATAGGGAAAGGATTTTCCCTCCAGCCACACAGCATCCTGTCATCCTGACCCTGGGAATGAGTGAATGAGGTGTGCAAGGGGACCAGCGCAGGTGCTGGGAAGCACAGGAGGATAACACCAGTAGTGACTAGTTTAGGCTGTCTGGCCTTTGTTAATGATAATAATAATGAGAGCGCTGGCTGAGCACTGGCTAGAAGTACTTTAGATGCATTTTTTTCATTTTCATATATCAGCCCAGGGAAGTGAGAATTAAATCAGGTGGTGAGGGCAACAGTTTCTGGAGCAAACAAAGGGACAGAGAGGGATCCATCCATCCATCCATCCATTCATTTATCCAGCCAATTTTTACTGAGCACCTACTAGTACTATTATATCCGCATCCTATCCATCATGTCCATAGAAGTGAGAAAAGCCCACATGGTCTCTGCCTTCATGGGGCTGCATCCTAGTCAGGGAGGCGGACAATAAAAAACTGACTCAATAAGATAATATAGGATAGTAATAAATGCTAGGAAGAAAATGAATTAAGGCGATGCCAGAGAGAGTGACGGAAGAAGCAACTTCAGATAGGGTGGTCAGAGAAGACCTCTCGAAGGAAGAGGCATCTGAACCGAGATCCCACAGTAAAAGGGGCTGGCCATGGAAGTAGCTGGGAGAAGAGTGTTGTGCACAGAGAGGACAGAAGGTGCAAATGCTCAAGGCAAGAAGGAACTCGGGATGTCTGAGGAATTGGAAGGAGGCTCATGCGGCTGGCTCTACACAGTGAGGAGAGGGGGAGTGGTGTTGGAGACACAGGGCTTCATAGGCCAGGGTAAAGAGTTGGGATATTTGTTTCATGAGATCCCTCTCAAAGGTTTTCAGTAGGAGGGCTTTCAGTAAGATTGAATTTATATTTTTAAAGGCTAACAGTGGCTGGTATATGGAGAATAGAGAGGAAGGCAAGAAGGGAGAGCAGTTGAAAGGCATTGAGGCCATCAAGGCTTTGCACCATCTGGTGCCAAGATGTAAGCTCTTAACTGTTTTAGATTATCATCATTCTTATCAGTCACCACCACCTCCACCATCACCACCACCACCACCATCAACATTACCATCATCATCTCTATCGCCATCACCACCACCACCATCATCCCACCACCACCATAAAAATCACAATCACCAGTTGGATGCGGTGGTTCACACCTGTAATCCCAGCACTTTGGGAGGCCCAGGCGGGAAGATCATGAGGCCAGGAGTTCGAGACCAGCCTGACCAACATAGTGACGCCCCATCTCTACTGAAATTACAAAAAAATTAGTTGGGTGTGGTGGTGCATGCCTGTAATCCCAGCTACTTGGAGGTTGAGGCAAGAGAATTGCTTGAATCTGGGAGGCGGAGGTTGCAGTGAGCTGAGATCACATCATTGCGCTCCAGCCTGGGTGACAGAGCAAGACTCCATCTCAAAAAAAAAAAAATCATAATTGCCATTATCACCACGGCCACCACCACAACCACCACAATCACGATCACTATTATCCAAGGCATCAAGATGACAGTGGTTTGGATTAGGATGGTAGTAGGAACAAAGGAGTGAAATGAGTGAATTGGAGTATATTTTGGAGGGAGGTCCAAAAGGCTTGTAAACAGACCATGGAGGTAGGGAGGACATTGGTGAACAGAAGTGGCAACTCTAGCTGAATCCCTTGGTATCTCCCCAACTGGAATAATTTGTCCAATTTTTCTACCGCTCTTCTAGACTCTTCTCATTGTCACCTACCAGGCACTTGATCCTGCTTCAGAAAATCATGGTATGACTGAAAAAGCCCTGGATCTAGAATCAGGCATCCAAGTCTCTCATCCTGTGCATGACTTTGATTTCATGGTTTAACTTATCTGAAACTCAGTTTCCTCATCTGTAAAGTGGAACTATGGTAACACTCACCTCAGGATTGTGCGGCTTTGATTCTTCACATGGGGCTGCTGGGGAAACTGAGGCCACTTGGAGCCTCTTAACCAGCTACAAGCTTCAAATGCCCTGTTGAGGAATTCCAGGCCAAACATCAACCCTCCTTACTAGGTCTTCTTGATTTAAGATAAATATCTTTTCTCTGATTCTGAGATTATTCATGTTGTGGGATGGGGGAGGGGAGGAAGGGAAATTGAGGAAGAGGACTATTACCAGAGCACTTTTAAATCTGGGTATTTAAGGCAAAACCATTCAGATTTATGGTCTAAAATAGTAGAGCTTGCATCTTGACACCAGACTAACCTGTCACTTATCAGCCATGCAGACAAGTAATGTTAACTTTCTGAGCCTTGGCTTTTCCTCTCCTATAAAAAGGGAATAATAATGTGTCACATAGGATTGCTGTAAGAATCACAGGAATTAGTCTGTAAAATGCCTGATGCATAGTAACTGCTCAGTGACAGCTGCCATCATCTCCACCATTGCCCAAACTAAGACACTGGATTATTGTGAAGATTAAACTTGTCAAGCTCTTGGCATCATCACCATCAGCAACAGCAGCATCACCATCATCACCATCATTATCATCACCATCACCACCATCACCATTATTACCATCACCGTCATCATCATGATCACCATCATCACCATCAGTAGCATCACTATTGTTATAGCCATCAAAACCATCAGCAGGATCAGCAGCAGCAGCAGCATCACCGTCATAATCACCATCGTCACCATCAGCAGCATCACCATCATCATCATCACCATCATCACCATCAGCAGCATCACTAACATTATAGCCATCAAAACCATCAGCAGGATCAGCAGCAGCAGCAGCAGCAGCATCACCGTCATAATCACCATCATCACCATCAGCAGCATCACCATCACCACCGTCAGCAGCACCACCATCGTCATCCCCATCATCACCACCATCAGCAGCATCACCATCATCATCACCACCATCATCATTACCATCACCAGCACCACAGCAGCATCAGCATCAGCATCATCACCGTCAGGAGCAGCAGCAGCAGTACCTCACCATCATTGTCTCACAGGCAATGTTGATGCCCACCCATATCCCTTCGGCACTGCCATCTCAGAGTACCGTGGCCAATGTCTAGTTGCCAGCATCCACATCTCTTCTTGAGGGCTTTCTGTGAGTATTGGAGCACACCGTGCCTGCGCTCTGGTAGGCGGAAGTACCAGGAAAGAAATACCTACGCTCCTCAGGAGGAGCCCTCAACCAATGACTCACAGGAGTTGAATAAACCCACTGGCTCCCTTGCCGCTTGGGTAGGGTAACTCTAAGGGACATCTTGCACATTGTTTCTCAGAGCTCTCCAGTGGAATTAAACTCGAGTTGCCCCCCGCGGTAGCTTGCTTGATTGGGCACCATTTTATAGGCTGCCTCCCCTCTTTCTCTCATCTCCCCACTCTTGCATTTCTTGGGACTGCTATTTATGCTTGAATCTTTGCCTCACATTCTGCTTCTGGAGGAACCCAAACCTAAGACACTGGATTATTGTGAAGGTTAAATTTGTGAACCTCTTGGCACATATTAAATGCTCAGTAAACTCATTGTTACGTGAACAAATAAGCGAAGCCTCACCTGCCCTGAGGATACGGATCCAGGGCAGAAGAAAGGAGGAAGGGAGAGACCTGGGACTGTAGAAGATGAGTTTTCCCAGAGAGGTTGTCTCTGCAGTGCCCCTACCTGTCAGCAACTGGTGTCATTATTCCATGCCTCCCCGTTCTGAGTTCTCTTCCTGCCCCTCCAGTGGTTGCGGGTTCAAGGCGTGGCTGGACCACATTGGCCAGAGTCCTTTGAGCAGCTCAGCAAGATGCTCTCATCACCAAGCTCCCATGTCGACTCTCTGGAAGGACAACAACCACCCAGTGCTGGACTGGAGAGAAAAACACTTAAGCAAAGTAAACGTGACATTGAACTTGTGCCTTTAATGTTTAAACAATTTAAATATCACATTATAAAATGACACGGTTGTACAAATCAACATTTAAAACAGGAGAGCCTTGAAGAGTCTTCCTCTGTCCAGTTCTCCCAGGGCTGACCATGGCTACTGTGCTGGCTCCCCATCCCTGAGGCCCTAGCCCCTCTTCCTTAAAGGACTCTGAGAGGCCAACGGACTTGTCCAAGGTCACAGAGCTCTCCTGGTTTTGTCTCTGGCGCTGCTGCCATTACACATTGTAGGGTCACTTTCAAAACAATTTTCCCTGGGGAAACAAAACCCAACCACCTCTTGATAGAGGTGCTGCATTTTTCATTTTCCTCCAGTCTGGAAGCCATGGAGAGAAGTCCATGGAGATCCAAGTGCCCCAAGTGGTGTTGTCATGCAGCAAGGTTGGTGTTGGAGGCGACTCTCTGGAGGGCAGGGGGTGGAGGGGCGTGAAGGCTTGTGTGTGTGGTTAAAACTTGAAAGCTGTGAAGAGGGGCGCAGGGGCTCACTTCTGTAATCCCAGCACCTTGGGGGGTCAAGGTGGGCAGATCACCTTGACCTCAGGAGGTCAGGAGTTTGAGACCAGCCTGACCCACATGGAGAAACCTCCATCTCTACTAAAAATACAAAATTAGCCAGGCATGGTGGCACGTGCCTGTAATCTCAGCTACTCAGGAGGCTGAGACAGGAGAATTGCTTGAACCTGGGAGGCGGAGGTTGCTGTGAGCCAAGATCAAGCCATTGCACTCCACCCTGGGCAACAAGAGCAAAATTCCATATCAAATAAACAAACAAACAAAACAAAACAAAAAAACCCATGAGAGCTGTGAAGGGAAGTCTTCCTCTGTCCGGTTCTCCCAGGCCTGATCGTGGCTATAATGCTGGCTTCCCCTCCCTGAGGCCCTAGCCCCTCTGAGTGCAGACCGCACTAGCTTCGAGTCCATTTCTGAAGGGTCTGAGAAGCATTTCAGAGAAGGATGCCTTGGAAGAAGACTCAGACCTTCCCCTTGAAATAGCTCTGTTCTCATGCTGGGTACATGGAGTCAGAGCCAGCAGGGGAGAGGAGGAGGCATCCCGGCTGCTCCTGAGAGTCGCAGGGTTTAGGTGGGGCTCTGTTTAAGGACCCACTCGCCATGTGGGTTGGCACGGTACAGATCTAAGAGGTAGGCATCTGGGTCCAGGCGATGCTCATCTGTGGGAAGAAGCGGTGAAGGGGTTGAGTGGAGGCTGTGGGCCATGCTGCTGCTCTGCCCAGGGCCCTTCGCCAGGCACCACTGTCCCCTGGCTCTATGCGTCTTGACTGCTGCAGCTCACAGCTACCTCTTTCGCTGGAGAACTGACCTCACTGATGGAAGATGCCTTGCCAGAAAAGTGACGCCACCTCCTCTCCCGGGGAAGCCCACAGTTGATGACTGACACAGACAGTACCAAACACCAGTCTCCTTGCCTCAACATGGAACAACTCGGATGTGATTTGTACTCTAGAGCCCCCTTGTGGATCAGGCCAGGCTCCAGAATGTGGACACTCCCGGCCACTGCCCCTGCCTGATCCTCCTTCACTCCTTCCCTTGGAACCCTCTTCCTGAGGGCACCCCCTCAAAGCATCGTGTACTCCTGAAGCCATGTCTTAGCCTCTGCTTCTTGGCCAGTGGCCCTCAGAGTGTGGCCCCTCAACTAGCAGAACTGCAACTCCTGGGAACTCATCACAAACGTACATTCTCAGTCCCCACCACCTGGGTCTTAGCCTTCCAGAGAATTCGGAGGTTCTGCTAAAGTTTAAGGATCACTGCTCTAGAGAATGCAAAGGGAAACAGCTTCCCATCAGAGCCAGGGACCTCCCAGAGCCGGACATGTGTTTGCAGAATTCCTTAAGGACTCCTTGGCCCCTGGGCCAGGGATGAGTTCCATCTCAGTTAGGATGTCCCAGAGGCATTGGTTTCACTACTGGTACTGCCAGCCTTCACACTAAACAAACATCCTGCCTCTCTCTGCAAGCCTGAGGTCAGTTCTAGGCAAAATCCAAACTCCAGGATAGGCTCCTAAGACTAACCTGTAACCTTACAGCCGGACCCCACCTGGTTTCATTGGAGACAGAGGCCTGAAGGGAAGGCTTGTCTCCAGGCAGACTCTGGCCTCCCCCTGAAGGGGCCAGTGAGTCTCTGAGGTGGAAGAACTCCCAGGGACCCAGGCTCTGCTCCCATTTCCCACAGTGGAACTTACTGATATTCCCTCCAACTTCATAGAGGAGGATGCCGGCTGACTCCATGGACCTGTGGCACAAGACAGAGAGAGGGAAAAAAAAGCTGCTTCCTTTTCTTCTGGAAACAGTAAAAGCACAACCGTGCATGGCCCCCAGGCCTGGAAAGGGCAGTCCTCACTGATTTTTTGTCTCACTGGGGAGAAGAAGCATAAGGACCCTCCTGAAAGAGCTGGAGCCGGTGACAGAGTCCAGCACCCAGGGTCTGGGGAGAGGCAGCTGGAGGGCACTTGGTGAGGTACAGCCAGGGTGCACCCCGCTGCGAGGCCCCTTCCTTCCGGGCATCAGAATGGAGACTGCGAGGGCAGGGAAATGAGTGGTGACAGATGGGGACAGGAGCCTGCTGTGAGGAGCAGATTTTGAGTCAAGATGGATTATGGACGTTGTATGATTACATATGATAATTATGCTTATCATGTAAGAATCGCAATTGATACATGATAATTATGGGTGTCCTGAGCTCAATTTCATGGCTTCTTATCTGCCATGTGGCCTGAGGCAAGCGCCTTCTCTTTTCTGAGTCTTAGTGCTCCCTTCTATTCAAGGAGGACCTGGACCAGACACTTGCTGAAGATGACAGTCTGAGGGCCCCTTGTGCCAATGCCAAGACGGAAGCTCTTGAAGGCTCAGGCTGTTTCCTGCGCCCTGGGAATGACGGCTGCACATCAGCCCCGACCTTCTTCCAGCTCCTTGGCCAGGTTCTGCTCCTTGCTGCAGGACCTCTGCCTGGAAGCCTCCCCTCTCCCTCAGACTACACCAGCCTCGTCTTCCAGGCACACCGTTCCCTGCATTTCTTATGAAACGTAACACAGTTTGTAACTTGAGCTTTGATTCATAACTATGTACTTTTTGTCTAGCTCTTCCTCAGGGCTGTGAGCTCTTAAGAGCAGGGCCTCTGTCTGTTCTTTCCATGACTAGTCTACAATTCTATTAATACACTGTGGGCCAGGTGCAGTGGCTCATGCCTATAATCCCAGCACTTTGGGAGGCCGAGGTGGGACGATCACTTGAGGTCAGGAGTTTGACACCAGCCTGGCCAACGTGGTGAAACCCTTTCTCTACTAAAAATACTAAAAAATTAGCCGGGTGTGGTAGTGGGCGCCTGTAATCCCAGCTACTTGGGAGGCTGAGGTTGGAAAATCACTTGAACCTGGGAGGAGGTTGCAGTGAGCCAAGATTGCGCCACTGCACTCCAGCCTGGGCGACAGGGCGAGACTCCATCTCAAAACAAAACCAAACAAACAAAAAATGGTGCCTGGTGGTAGGCATTCATTAAATATCTATTAAAATGAATAAATGAATGAGCAAGTGGTGGTCATGATGATTATTACTTGGAGCCAAGAAGTTCTCTAAGGTTGGAGAACCCATCTGACCACCCCAGAAAGGGAAGGCCAGGTCAACAGCACGAGTAACTCCCTGGCGGCCTTCAGTTCTGGGGTGCAGAACCCTCCCTGCAGGGGAGAGGCTCCCGCCTCCAGGAAGTGCTCCTTACTGTAGAAGGAGGCTGTCCATGTCCTCACTGCCTTCTTGACCCTTGGAACCAGGGCTGAGGCGCTCTGTGAACTGCCTCAGGACGTGGGCCACTTTGGTGCTGGGGGTGAGAGGCACCTTCAAGGGGTCCTTGATAGGCCAGACCACCTGGATCTTTGCCACCTTGAGAGTCTGCAGAGAGAGAGAAAGTCCATATACATAGGCACGAGCACGCCTGGAGCTCAGACATGGATGCATAAACACAAAAATGGCACTTACACAAATGACCACACTAAAAATCACGAGATGCACACATGCACGCACAGACACACACACACACACGCACATGCAGGCCACTTGGGCACAGATCACAGACACACATTCCAGATGTGTGCACACACAAACACAGACATAGAAACATGTGTCTCTACGGCTGTGTTTGTGTTCCTACGCCCGTGGCTTGCATTCGTACACACAGCAGGAGTACATGCAACGCACCCACAAACAGATATGTAGGTTTGTATAAAGATCCATCACTCGCACGCCATGCACGGTGCAGACTCGATGTTGATCAATTTCTCTGATCAATTTCCTTTGATAAGGAGCCGTGTTCAGGACCTCTCCCAGGAATACTCAGTATTTTTGGAAGGCTCTTTCATTCTACTATCCCCCTGCCAGCCCCAATCACCTCACGCTCCTCAGAGTGACCCCCATTTTCCCAACCCTCGACCAGGGTCTGCCTAAAAATGGGGCAGAGGAGATGGCGCCTAGGGGAAGTCTCCGTGTCACTCCATTTCCCCTCCCCAACCCCCTTCTAAGCCCTGGTTTCTCAGCCACGCCACCTCTCTCCCTGTGATGGCGCTGCAGCTCCCCCTCGTGGCTTCACTGGGCCATTGCTGGCAGACCGGTAGCAGGGACCTGGAGGAAGGGATGCACCGCGCTCCAGGCTCCAGGTGCCCACCTGTCGCCTCGGCCCTTCTCTACCTGCCTGGGGTCGCGGGCACTCACCGCCTCGAGGCCGTCCCCCGCCTTGTCCTTGTCTGCGTGCATCCTCCGCAGCCAAGTCTTGAGGCCTGCGTCACAGAGCTGGGGGCGCCTGCTGCTGCTGTCGTTCAGTTTTCGCACCTGGGCGACCAGGAAAGAGGCGACCTGGCCAGAAAGGACCAAGTCTGGGCAGGGGGACAGGACTGCTGGGGTCGAGAGGCAGAACCCCCTCCACGGTCATCGTGGTCTCTTCCCTGCCCCAGCGTCCCACAGGGCTTGGAAATCTGCATTTGTTGGGCTTGGGACTGAAGCACTGGTTTGGCGGGATGAGGAGGGGGCATTCAGCCCCTGAAGTGGGCCTTGGAGTAGGGGACCCTGAGAGTGGAGCCCATCCTGAGGCTTAGTGGATGGTGGTCCCCCCAATAGAGGCTGGAGGGTCCTGTGCCTGCTAAGGGGTAGCTGCTCACTGGCACACTCAGACAGGGGTCCCCCCAGAACATACCTGGAGCAGGCTCTGCTCTGAGAACCCCCAAGCAGCCCACACTGGGGGATTCCTACAGAGACCTCCAGATCAACCCATACCTCTCTGTGGGATCCTAACCCAGCAGACAGAGTCAGAGAACCCAGGCTCCATGGACCCTGATAATAATACGTCTGTCTCCAAGGGTCTGATGGAACTGGGGTGGATTCTGAGCTCCCCTCTTTGCTATGTGTGTGCTATCTAAAGGTGACACACACAGGGAAGGACAAGGGTGATGGGGGCTCTCCCCTTTCACTTCTTCTACATCTATGTTGTCTGAAGATTTTCTAACAAAACATGCAGGCATTTCTTGAATTTTTTTTTTTTTTTTTTTTTTTTTTGTTATGGAGGGGGTTTTTTTTTTTTTTCCCGGTTGGGGGGGAAAGGGGCGATCTCGGCTCACCGCAACCTCCGCCTCCTGGGTTCAGGCAATTCTCCTGCCTCAGCCTCCTGAGCAGCTGGGATTACAGGCACGCACCACCATGCCCAGCTAATTTTTTTGTATTATTAGCAGAGACGGGGTTTCACCATGTTGACCAGGATGGTCTCGATCTCTTGACCTCATGATCCACCCGCCTCGGCCTCCCAAAGTGCTGGGATTACAGGCTTGAGCCACCGCTCCCGGCCGCATTTCTTGAATTTTTAAAGCTCCCTCCAATAAAAAATGTGTTACAATCCAATGTGTTCTGGCAGCAGCATTATCTTAAAGGGCTGAGTGCAGAGAAGAAAGGAACTATGGGAGTGTGAGGGGTGTGTAAGGGAGGTGTAGAGGACTTTTGACAAAGGAGTTGACTCTTGAACTAGGAGGTCTTAAAGAATAAGCAGAGGGTACCAGGCTTCTGCTCTTTAAAAAAAGGTGGGGGGAGGGACTTCCAGGCAGAGTGAACTGCATAAGCGAAGATTCAGTAAGTGCAAGATGAGTTTGGAGTACCAGCTAGCACTTGATGTGTTTAGAACACAGAAGAGTGCCCGGGCAGGGTCAGAGAGAAACTGGGAACAGTGAGAGAGGGCTTCACTTGCTGGTTTCTGGAAAAGGAAATCTAACCTAATGACTTCATGGAAGGAGAGAAGGATAGGAGGAAGGACTGTGGGCGGATGGATGAGTGGATAGTTGGATAGATGCATTGTTGGGTGGATGGGTGGGTAGAGAGTTGGATAGATGCATAGTGGGTAGATGGGTGGGTAGATGGATGGGTAGATAGTTGGATAGATGCATGGTTGGGTGGATGGTTGGGTAGATAGTTGGATAGATGCATGGTTGGGTAGATGGGTGGGTGAATGATGGTAGATAGTTGGATAGATACATGGTTGGGTGGATGGGTGGATGCATAGGTGAAAGGTGGATGGATGGATTGGTAGATAAGTTGGAGGAGTTGATGGATGGATGGGTGGGTAGGTAGATGGGTGGGGGGACAGGTGGGTGGGTGAGTGGGTGGGTGATGGGCAGTTGCATAAATGGATGGGTGGGTGAGTGTGTGGGTGGACGGATGGATGGGTGGGTGGATGGGAGACTGAATGGAAGGATGAATGAACAGATGCAGGGAAGAGGCTACACATCTCTAGGTGAGAAAGTAGCCTGGTCAGCACTGGTAGATGATGCTACCTTGTGTTCACAGCAGTCTCAAGAGCTGGAGAGGTCTCAGTGTTGGGGGCACCATACATGCTGACACTGCAGAGGGGGCCTCGCTCCTCCTCTGGCTCCTCCCCTTGCTGTCACTTGTTACTCAGGGCAAAGCTTACGGTGGGGGCAGGAGGCAGGGGTATCCGTTATCTGGCTCCGGGCTCCGTCTTAGGCAGGCCCTGTGATCCTGAGCCTCAGGGATGGGGCTTTCTCAGCAGCATAAAAGCTTTGATATGAAGGAATTATTTGCGCAAGTTGGGGGAACTCTTGCAATCTGGGGTAGACCAGATGGCAGCAGATTGACTGAGAGGCATGGCAGTGGAGACAGAAAGTGAAGATGCTTCTTCTTGGTCACTAAAGCAGGGGGAAGAAGAGAACACAGGCCTGTGCAGAGCCCAACAAACGTCCTGGCAGGGACACACAAGGGAACTGAAAGGACAATGTCCACGTTCCTGGAGGGCAGGGCAGCAGGGCAGCTTTACGCAGATGAGGGGTGCCGAGCACCCAGCAGCACTCACCGTCCACAGCAGATCCTGGTAGTGCACCATTATCTGCACTACCTCAGCTGCCCCCTCTGCCAGCTGCTTCTCCTTGCCTTTGGGGAGCTTGGGCGGCCGCCCTTGGTGCAGAAAGAGGTTAGGGGCCATCACAGTGGAGACATTCCACAGAGTCATCTTGTTGTGCTGTTCCCGGGCCACCACCTTCCTGAGGAATTCCAGCAGTGCCTGGGGAAGGGTGCAAAACATCCCTCAAATCTCAGCACATCCGTGGCACCTCCCACCCCTATTAACAGGACATCCTGATGCATGACAAAGGGGCGCTAGGAAGAAGCCAGGAGCTGTGAAGGCAGTGAGAGGGGCTCCCGTTCCAGCTGCACCCTGTGATCTCTACGTGTCTCTGTTTCCTGCTCTGCAGTGTGTCCAATACTCTTTCCCTCCCCTGCTCCCTCAGAGACTGAGACATCTGGGTCAGACTTCAACTTCCCGGTAGAAAAGGGCCACAGGTCTGGAATATGGGTCATTTCCTGGTGAGGCCCAGGACAACTCCTTCTTTCTGGAGTCTGGATCTACCCAAAAACAAAGGAAAGAATAGGGAAGCAGAGATGCTGGGGAGAGCAGGGGAAGGTGATGAGAGCTACCATTTACTATATATTCTTTGAGTTCCTGGGCCTTTAGTTGGTACATCTCATTTAATCCTCACAGCAACTCTATAAGGTAGCTCTTTCTTTCTTTTTTTTTTTTTTTTTTTTTTGAGTCAGAGTGGCATGATCTCAGCTCAGCTCAGTAACCTCTGACTCCTAGGTTCAAGTGACATTCTCGCCTCAGCCTCCCAAGTAGCTGGGATTATAAGTGTACACCACCATACCCAGCTAATTTTCATATTTTTAGTAAAGACAAGGTTTCACCATGTTGGCCAGGCTGGTCCTGAACTCCTGACCTCAAGTGATCCTCCTGCCTTGGCCTTCCAAAGTGCTGGGATTACAGGTGTGAGCCACTGCACCTGACCAAGGTAGCTCTTACTATTATACAGAGAAGGAAACAAGCTTGGAGGATGTGCCAAGGGTCACACAGTCAGTAAGGACAAAGGGATGGAGTGAAGAAGGGAGGGAAGGATGGATGGATGAAGAAATAAAAGATGAATACGTGAATGGATGAAGATAAATGGGTAGAGGAAGGAAGAATAAATGGAAGGGAGGGGGAAAGAAGGAAAGGAGGGAGGGAGGAAGGGGGGAAAGGAGGGAGAAGGGAGGAAGGGAGGGGGAAGGGAGGAAGGAGGGAGAGAGGATAGGAAGAGAAGACGCATATTGAGTACCCTGCAAAGCATTTTCTACCCCATGATTCCTCATGGGTTAGCTTTTATAATTTCCAAAAAAATTAGACAAGATGTTATTAATGCTATTATCATCCTCTATTTACTGAAAAGGAAGCAGAATCTCAAACAGGAAGACCCCAGGGCTCCTCACAGGCTGACCCTGGAGGCTCATCTTGACTCTGAAGGAAGGACAGCCAAGAGGATACAGGGAGCTGGGCCAAGGCCAAGCATCCGCTCCCATACGACAAGGGGAATTTGGTAAGGGTTTGTTTCCCAAACTGGTTCCACAAGGAACACCAGTGCCGTGCAATGCTTTCCACAACAAAAGAGGTCCGTGATCAACTGCGTTTGGAGAGTGCTGCGTACGCTAATTCCACTTGGAGATTCTCTCAAAGCCTTCGTATACCAAAGGCTCCGAGAGGTCCTGGGGACGAAAATGCTCTTTTTTTGTGGGGGGACGGAGTTTCACTCTTGTTGCCCAGGCTGGAGTGCAATGGTACGATCTTGACTCACCACAACCTCCACCTCTCGGGTTCAAGAGTCGCTGAATGAATGAATGAATGAGCACATTTGGAGCATGACTGCAGCTGTGGGCTGAGGTGGCAGAGTGGCTGAATGAATGAATGAGCACATTTGGCAGCTGTGGGCTGAGGCGGCAGAGTGGCTGAATGAATGAATGAATGAGCACATTTGGTGGCTGTGGGCTGAGGTGGCAGAGTGGCTGAATGAATGAATGAATGAGCACATTTGGCGGCTGTGGGCTGAGGTGGCAGAGTGGCTGAATGAATGAATGAATGAATGAGCACATTTGGCGGCTGTGGGCTGAGGTGGAGAGTGGCGGTGGTGCATGGTAACTCTTACCTTCAAGGCATTTCTGTTGGGTTCTGGGAGGATGAGGATGAGCAGGTGAAGAATCTGTAGGCGCTGCTTCAAGTCGGGGATGTCTGCGGGAAGGAAGGGGCGTCAGTTTCCATGGGAGGCTCAGGGACTCTCCCTCCCTCAGTCTGGTCTCTTCCTAGGGAAATTCCAGAGCTGGAAATTCAGGGGACAGCCAGGGACCCTTTTTTATCAGGTGTGGGACTGTTTCCTTGTCTGATGTTGATACAGACAGAGCCCTGCCCAGTGCTGGTGGAGAGGGTCACTTGCTATACTTTGTGTAACAACATAAACACGCAAATGCTGCACACACCCAGATATGCAGTCCAAGGCTACAGCCCAAGGTCAGAAATGCAATCAACCAGCAAATCACCCTTAGGAGGGGAGACAGATAGCTCAATGGGCCGAGATAGGTTTCTTGAAACCCTCTGTGTTGTGAGGGTTGAAAAGGAACAGCTGTCTCACACCTGGTGTCAGGATCTCGGGGGAGAGGAGGTGGGTAGGAGGAGGTAGTAGTTATAGATTCAAAGAAGGAGTTCACCAGAGCCAGACAACATCCAGCAGCTGAGAGATGGCTGGGACCTGGAGAGGAGCTGCATAGGAGACTCGGAGGCTGAGCACCCCGGGCACCAAGCCTACGATCCTTCCTTCCTTCCTTCCTTCCTTCCTTCCTTCCTTCCTTCCTTCCCTCCCTCCCTCCTTCCTTCCTTCCTTTCCTTCCCTCCCTCTGTCCCTCCCTCCCTCCTTCCTTCCCTCCCTCCCTCCTTCCTTCCCTCCCTCCCTCCTTCTTTCCTTCCTTCCCTCTCTCCCTCCCTCCCTCCTTCCCTCCTTCCCTCCCTCCCTCCTTCTTTTCTTCCTTCCTACAAATATCTATCAAGTACCTATCAGGTGCCCATGATCCCATATGACTAACCTTTTTTCCTTCCCTCCCTTCCTTCCTCCCTTCCTTCCTTTCTTCCTTCCTTCCTTCCTCCCCTCCCTCCCTCCCTCCCTCTCTCCCTCCCTTCTCAACACATATCTATCAAGTACCTATCAGGTGCTGTGCTCAGTCCAGGAACCGGAAACACAATAGTGAAGGAAGAAAACAGTCGCAGGCTGGCGGAGCTTACATTTCCGAGAGGAGACACAATACACAGCAAAGAAAAAATTGGAGGAGTGACAGGCATCCTTGTGTCATTGCAGTGGCTGGCAGGCAGCAAGGTGGCACATGGGGTCACGACAGCCCCTCGCAGGCACTGACAGCCCGCTGAAACTTGAATGGCAGGAAGCAGCCAAATGAGGGCGGAGGGAGGTTCCACTCCGAGGCAGCAGCAAGCGCAGAGGTCCAGGGAAGGAAAAAGGAGGGGAACAGCAAAGCAGGTGAGCCCGGCTGACAGTGGGGAAGAAGGGGCCAGGAGGGAAGGGGGCCAGAAATAGGCAGGACCTCAGCCAGAGCGGGTGGGCCCAGTAAGGAGTGGGAGCTTATTACAAGAGTGTTGTGGAGGGCGGGAAGCAGCGCAGGGAAGGGATCTGATGTATGTTTTCCAGTGAGGTTGAGGCCAAGCCTGATGGTTCATGCCTGCAATCTCATCCCTTTGGGAGGCCGAAGTGGGAGGACTGCTTGAGGCCAGGAGTTTGACACTAGCCTGGCCCACATAGTGTGACCCCCATCTCTACAAAAAAAAATGTGAACAAGTATGTCAGGCATGGTCTCATGTGCCTATATTCTTGGCTACTTGGGAGGTTGAGGCAGGAGAATCACTTGAACCCAAGAGCTCAAGGATGCGAGCTAGGATCATGCCACTGCACTCCAGCCTGCGTGACAGAGCAAGGCCCCGTCTCCAAAAAACAAACAAACAAAATGAAACATTGAGGTTGTTGGAATCAAAGGACATAGAGGACCTCTCAGGATCCCTGTCCCTAGCTTGGGGGTGGAAACCAGACTGCTGGAGCCTTGAAGCTTTTTGGAGAATTCAGAGAGACAGGGAGAACCTCACAGTCAGGAGAGTTGCTTTACTTTTTTGAGAAAAATAGAAGTGACTATGTTTGCACACTGTGGGTTGTGAAGAAGTCCAGACAGGAACATGTACATGCAAACTATAAATGCAGCAAGGTCCATGCAATACACGCTGATCTGCAGACGTGCACACAGATGGACATGCACATACATGCGTGCCCACAGATACACAGGTAGACGTCACTGATAAGCTCAACCTTATGGATGTCAAGATATGAAGGAAACTGGTCGGCTCATCCACGTGGGAACTAATAGGGACTTGGTATGCAAAAGCTTAGCCTCCTCTCCCCACACACATGCACTTGCACACATGCCATACAACACACACAGGACATGTGTGCACATGCGTATGCACACACACTTGGCGCACATGCTTGGACCTCTTTCTTCCCCATCAATTGGACATTTCTGGAACAGACATTTCCAGGAACAGGGAGTCCTCCCTTTGCATGGCTTCCCCTCTCCAACCAAGGCCAGTGACATCCAGCCCTCCATCCCTGCACCGGCTAAGGGCTCGGGCACACTCACTGGGCACCACGGCGAAGGCCGGGAGGTACTCAGCTGTGAGCAAAGGCGTTGGCAGCTTCCGGATGAACCTTTTGAGCAAATCGGAGGCGTCATTGTGATGAACCTCGTCCCAGCTAAAAAGGCCAGTGTAGAAATCTCTCTCCAGCTTCTGTTCCAGCCCCTACAGGAAGGAGGGGCATGAAAACACAGTTGACCCAGGGCTTCCATAGAATAGGAACACTTGTATACTGTTGGTGGGAGTGTAAATTAGTTCAACCATTGTGGAAGACAGTGTGGTGATTCCTCAAGGATCTAGAAATAGAAATTCCATTTGACCCAGCAATCTCATTACTGGGTATACACCCAAAGGATTATAAATCGTTCTTTTATAAAGACACATGCTCACATGTTCATTGCGGCACCGTTTACAATAGCAAAGACCTGGAACCAACCCAAATGCCCATCAATGACAGACTGGACAAGGAAAATATGGCACATATACACCATGGAATACTATGCAGCCATAACAAAGTGATGAGATCCTGTCCTTTGTAGGACATGGATGAACCTGGAAACCATCATTCCCAGCAAACTGACACAAGAACAGAAAATCAAACACCACATGTTCTCACTCATAGCCGGGTGTTGAACAATGAGAACACATGGACACAGGGAACGAAGCATCACACACTGGGGTCTGTTGCGGGGAGGGCTAGGGGAGGGACAGCAGGGGGTGGGGAGGTAGGGGAGGGATAACATGGGGAGAAAATCCAGATATAGGTGACGGGGGATGGAGGCAGCAAACCACCTTGCCATGTATGTACCTATGCAACAATCCTGCATGATCTGCACATGGACCCCAGAACCTAAAGTACAAAAATAAAATAAAAAGAAGAAGTTGCTCTGCCACTTTTCTGGGACTCAATTTCCTCATCTGCAAAGTGGGGACAACAAGAGCACCTCCCTCATGGGGTTGATGTGAGGACGAAATGGACTAATGTGTGTGCCACTGAGCACGGAGCTCTGCTCATTAAACGCTGGTGGTCTGACTCCAGGGCCCACTCTCTCCGCCACCATGCTAATCCTGCCACCTTCAGCCTCTCAAACCCTTGACCCACACGGAGACCAAAGACAGATCACTGGCAAGCCAGGGACTGGATTCTCTCCCGGCTTAACACACATGTGAGGATCGGGGAGACACAGCCTTGGTGAAGCGGGGAAAGCCAAATCATTACCTTGACCCTGGCCTGGGACCCGGGCACCCTGAGAATGCCTTCCATGTCCAGTCCTCTCTTTTCCAAACAGGACAGCAGCTGTCAGGGAGAGAGAAACAGCATTTAAACCAGAAACTGTGGGTGTATTTGTTTCCCATGAAAATCAGAAAAAGGAGTACCAGGAGAAGGGTTTACCTCAAAATAATAATAGTTTTCATGACCACTTCCATGAGCCAGGCATTCTGAGAGCTCTATATACATTTTTCTCATTTGGAGGAGGATACTGTTATTATCATCCCAATTTACAGATGTTGAAAGGGAGGCTCATGAAGGTTCAAAAATCCACCCTTGACTTTAAGATTCAGAAGTTAAAAAGAAAAGAAAAGAAAAATCCACTCTAAGGATTACTTGCGGCCAGGAGTTCGAGACCAGCTTGGGCAACATAGTGAGACCCTGTCTCTATAAAAAAGTTAAGACAAAAATTTATGAAATAAAATCAACAACAAAAATTCACTCTAGGTCTCTGAGCTAGCAAGTAACAGAGCCAGAATTTGAACCCAGGTCTTCCTGATTCTAAAGCCCGTCCTCTCACCCCTTTGCTAGCTGTCTCCTGACAATGTCCCCCAGAGCCAGGCTCTAATGGACTAAATAAACCCAAGCTGGGGACGACTTACAGCTTGAAGGACCAGCGGGACCTGCGTGCTGGGGAGGACTTTGTGGTCAGCTTCCAGCAGGCTGTCAAGGGACACGCCAAAGAGGCGAGTTTCTGCAGGAAGTCAAAGAGCAGAAGGTGTATTTCACTTCCTGGAACCACCACTGGGCTCTGACCTGCAAGACCTTCTGGGCAACTAGAATCAGACTTATTTTCCTGTGGAAGGACTGAGCTCTCTGGAGAATGGCTGGACCCAAACCTCTCCTCTTGAGCAGAACATCTGGCCTCAGCAGTAACGAAAACACTACCGCTGAGGAGATATGTCTCAGACCAGAAAATCTCAGCTGGATAAAGAAGTATTGAAAGGGTTGGGCATCGTGGCTCACGCCTGTAATCCCAGCACTTTGGGAGGCCGAGGCGGGCGGATCACGAGGTCAAGAAATCAAGACCATCCTGGCCAACACAGTGAAACCCTGTCTCTACTAAATGTACAAAAAAGTTAGCTGGGCATGGTTGTGTGTGCCTGTAGTCCCAGCTATTCAGGAGGCCGAGGCAGGAGAGCTGCTTGAACCTGGGAGGCAGAGGTTGCACTGAGCCGAGATCGCACCACTGGCGGCAGAGCAAGACTCTGTCTAAAAAAAAAAAAAAAAAAAAAAAAAAGCTGAGCATGTCTTGGTGGGAGAGTCCGTGTGCAGCTCCCTATGAGAAACCAGGACTGTGGCCACAAGGCTTTCCCCGGGCAGGGGCTGCTCACCTGCTGCTTTCCACTTCCCCGCCTTGCTCCTCTTCAGGTCCAAGCCAAGGATGTCACACAGCGCGGTCAGCTCTATGAGGGCCAGAGAAGGCACCTTCCTCATATCCTGCAGGGACAAGTCCCCTATCCTCGTCACACCAAGTCTGCCTTTGGGGATGGTGAACTTCTATTAACAGAGAGGGAAGTTAAAGACAATTTGTCAGGCCATATGTCTGATGTGTATTTTGGGGCTTCCTCATTTCCCCTGGGCATTTAGGCAGAAGGAAGAGCCGCGTGAATAAGAGCAGGTGCTCAGGAGTCCGTCCTCAAGTCAAGTCCAAGCTCCACCTCTTGCAAATGAGCTGACATTCTGAGCCTGTGATTCTTCATAATCATAAAATAGAGCCTACCTCAGGAGGTTTTTGTGTGTGTGTTTGTTTGTTTGTTTGGAGACACAGTCTTGCTGTGTTGCCCAAGCTGGAGTACAGTGGCATGAACATTGCTCACTGAAACCTCAATCTCCTGGGCTCAATCGATCCTCCTGCCTCAACCTCCTGAGTAGCTGGGACTACAGGTGCGCACCACGACACCTGGCTGATCTTTGCATTTTTTGTAGAGACAAGGTTTCCCTATGTTGCCCAGGCTGGTCTCAAACACCTAGGCTCAAGCATTTCTCCCAGCCTCCCAAAGTGCTGGAATTACAAGCGTGAGCCACTGCAATGGCCTTATAAGATTTTTGTGGGAGCAAATGAGCTAATAGATATAAAGTGTTTAGCACAGTCCCAAGCACATAGCGAAGCCCCAGGAAATAGAGGCTGTTTTCACTGCCTGTCCTCCCACAAGAGGGCATGGAGGAGAGGGGCCACTCCAGGGGCCTCTTATTGTTATTGCGTCTACTCTTGCCTTTGTTCCTCTCCCTCACCGGGTCTGTCTCCAGCCTCGGCCATGCCACTCGCAGAAATAAAGAATGCTCAACTGTGCCATCTAGAGGCCACCTTGGGAATCAGCAGGCAGGACCAGGCTTTCCTCCACCCAAGGTGAGAGCTAAGGCAAGCAGGAGGGCAGGGCTCGCTCAGCACTGCTTGGAGGACGTGATCAGACCACTTCCCAGTGCTCAAAGGGAAAGGAATAGTAATTGATACTTATAATACAGCCTAGTGCTGGGGGCATGGGCTACCGAGTCATACCTCCTGGGTTCAAATCCTGACTTTACCTGTGAGTGTGGGCAAATAATTTTACCTGTGTAAAATTATTCATCTGCAAAATGGAACTGATAACAGTATCTACTTCACAAGATTGTTGGTGAGATTAAATTCAATAAACCATATGAAACATGGTGCCTGACACATAGTGAGTACTCAGTACTTATTATTACCATTTTTTAGTTTACTTACACAATTATCACCAAGTTAATAGAATGAAATTAAATCAAATATGTGAAGTATTTGGCCTAATGCCTAGTGTGTGGTAAAAGACCAATATGTGATGTCTTTAGCATTATTATTACTCAGAGAAGGGTCTTGCTCTGCTGCCCCAGCCGAAGTGCAGGGGCACAATCACAGCTCACTGTAACCTTGAACTCCTGGGCTCAAGCAATCCTTCTGCCCCAGCCTCCTGAGTAGCTAAGATTACAGGTACACATCACCAAACCCAACTTTTTTTTTTTTGAGACAGAGTCTCACTCTGCTGTCCAGGCTGGAGTGCAGTGGCATGATCTCCACTCACTGCAACCTCTGTCTCCCAGGTTCAAGCAATTTTCCTGCCTCCACCTCCCAAGTAGCTGGGATTATAGGTGTGCACTACCACATCCAGCTAATTTTTGTGTTTTTAGTAGAGATGGGTTTTCACCATGTTGGCCCAGAAGGTCTCAAACTCCTGATCTCAAGTCATCCACCCGCCTTGGCCTCCCGAAGTGCTGGGATTATAGGCATGAGCCACCGTGCCTGGCCCACACCCAATTATTTTTTAAACTTTTTTGTAGAGATGGGGTCTTGCTATGTTGTCCAGGTTGGTCTCAAACTTCTGGCCTTAAGCGATCTTCCCACCTCAGCCTTCCAAAGTGCCAGGATTACAGGTGTACATCATCATGCCTGGCCCTTTAGCATGATTAATTATCATCATTCATAATTTAATGGAGAAAAATTACCAAGGAAGAAGACAAGAGAATTTTGAATATTAATTATCTCTGATGTTTTAGAAATAGAAACTCATTATTTAAAAATTTTAGACTGGGTGAGTTGGCTCACACCTGTAATCCTAACACTTTGGGAGGCTGAGGTGGGTGGATCACCTGAGGTCAGGAGTTCAAGACCAGCCTAGCCAACATGGTGAAATCCCTTCTCTATTAAAAATACAAAAATCAGCTGGGCATGGTGGCACATGCCTGTAATCACAGCTACTCAGGAGGCAGAGACATGAGAATCACTTGAACGTGGGAGGTGGAGGTTGTAGTGAGCCGAGATTTCACCACTGCACTCCAGCCTGGGCGACAGAGTGAGATTGTCTCAAAAATAAATAAATAAATAAAATAAATAAAAGTGCTATTTGGTGTGCTATGATTATGGAAGATATTATCACTGAGATAAACTAGGTGTAAAGCATGTGGGAGCTCTGTTTTCACAACTTCTTTTGGGCCTAAAGGTATTTAAAAGTAAAAAGTTTAAAAGGAAATTCACAAATTCAAATTCAATTTGAATGAGTGAAAGTACTCTCACACTGGAACAGAGGCGACTGCAGAGGGTGGGGCCTATTTCCTAAGCAGTAGAGAGAAGTGATCAGTTGGGAAGGCTCTGGGGTCAGGCTGCCAGGTGTTCCAGTCCTGGTCTTTGCACGACAATTCTGTCATTTCCCTCTCTGGGAGCCATGATATTGTTTGGCTGCCCCCCACCAAATCTCATCTTGAATTCCGACGTGTTGTGGGAGGGACCATGTGGGAGGTAACTGAATTATGGGGGCAGGTGTTTCCTGGGCTGTTCTCATGATATTGAATAAGTCTCACAAGATCGGATGGTTTTAAAAAGGGGAGTTTCCCTGCACAAGCTCTCTTCTCTTGACTGCCACCATGTGAGACATGCCTTTCATCTTCCGCCATGATCGTGAGGCCTCCCCTGCCATGTGGAACTGTAGTCTATTAATCCTCTTTCATGCCTTAATCACAGCATGAAAATAGACTAATACATGCCACTTCTCTTTTTGTTTTCTTTTTCTTTTTTTTTAGAGACAGGATCTTGCTCTGTGGCCCAGGCTGGAGAGCAGTGGTGCAATCATAGCTCACTGCAGCTTCAACCTCCCAGGTACAAGTGATCCTCCTGCCTCCCAAGCAGCTAAGACTACAGACCTGAACCAACAAGCCTGGCTACTTCAAAAATTTCTTGTAGATATATGTATTGTTATGTTTCTCAGGCTAGTCTCAAACTCCTAGACTCAATCAATCCTCTCACCCCGGCCTCCCAAAGTGCTGGGATTACAGTCGTGAGCCACTGTGCCTGGCCCACTTCTCTTTTTTTTCTATCATATAGTCAGGGAGAAATGAGGGCACTGGAAGCTTTGGAAACAATGCCCTGGATCAGGGCAGCCCTCAGTAAAATGTTACCTAAGATTACATCAACTACATCACCACATAGTCAACAAAGAAACACTTCCTTTAGTAACAGTGGGACTGTGAAAGACTATTTTCACTCCATGAGAGAAGTCAGAATAGTGGTTATTCTGTAGAGAAAGGGATTACCTGGGAAGGGCATGGGGGAGCTCAGGGGGTGGTGGGGCAGGAAGTTTCTTTCTTTTTTTTCCATATTACAAGGCATCAAGCAAGGGAGGAAGTTTCTGTACTGATTTGGTGGTATTTACACATGTATACATGCCAAACTGTACATGGTAATTATCTGAACTATAACTCAGTTAACGGCGAGTTATAGTTCCATCTTTAAAAACCTATCAATGATTACATCCTATTTGGAAGGAACTATGCTGGGATAGGTGAATATTTGGGGGAAATAATACAGCCAGGTGCCGTGGCTCACACCTATAATCCCAGCACTTTGGGAGGCTAAGGCTGGAGGATTGCTTGAGCCCAGGAGTTTGAGACCAGCCTGGGCAATGTAGGGTGAACCTAACTCTAAAAAAATTTTTAAATTAGCTGGGCATGGTGGCATGCAACTGCAGTCCTAGCTACTTGGGAAACACATGTGAGGGTAGCTTGAGCCTGGGAGGTTGAGGCTGCAGTGAGCTGAGATGGCACCGCTGCACTCCCGCCTGTGTGACAGAGCGAGACCTTGTCTCAAAGAATAAAGAAAGAAGGAAAAAAGGAGAAGGGAAGGAAGGGAGGGAGGGAGGGAGGGAAGAGAGAGAGAGAGAGAAAGAAAGAAAAGAAAGCAAAAGAAAGAAAGAAAAGGAAGGAAGAGAAAGAAAGAAGGAAGGAAGGAGAGAAAGAAGAAAGAAAGAACGAATGAACTAAAATGTTAGGTCCCTCTCTGTCACTCTAGGCACTAAAATTAATTTTAAAAGTAACTAGAAAATCATACGTTGATGGACAGTTATAAGCTTGCTGGAGGAGGGAGGGCTTTCTAAAGATAAAAACAAAGAGCATGGAGACAATCCTGACAGGCCTGCTAGACTATAAGCACCCTGCTCCCCAGTCCTTCACACCTAGTGGTCACTCAGTAAATATTTGTGGTACAAATTAAATGAATGAATGATTCAACAACTTCTGTGCTGGGTGCCTGTCGGTGTGGAAGGTGTGAAGAGATGGGTGCTGGTGCCTGAGCACAGGTGGACCTAGCCACCAGCCCTCTGGACAGCGTCCTCACCGGCAGGGAATGCTTGCCCCAGGCAGAGGCGCCTCCCGGTGATGAGCCGCTCCTCTGCAGGAGCACCGCAGCTTGTTCTGAGTAGGCAGAGTCCATGTTGAAGGCTTCTTCCCTCCCAGCCCGCTCCAGCAGCCCCCCAGGCTCTGCTGCTGCAGGGGAAACAAAGCAGAAAGGCAGTGAGAACTGGCTACCAGGAAGCAAGTGCTGGGGTTCGGGACTTAGGCCCTTAGTCCTAAGAAGTGATCTCCCAAGCTCAAGTTCAAAGCCCCAGGATCAAATCATTAGGTTTAGGGCTCAGGCTTATTGCCAGGGAAGTGATTTCCTAGCTAAGACCCTCACTGCCCCAGGAGGGGATTTCCTAGCTGTGGCCCATTGACCCCAGGAAGTGATTTCCTAGCCAAAACCCTCCCTGCCCCAGGAAGTGATTTCCTAGCTAAGGCCCATTGCCCCCAGGAAGTGATTTCCTACTTAAGGCCAATTGCCCAGGAAGAGATTTTTCCCATCTCAAGGCCCATGGGCCTGATGGCAACAGCTCACTTAAGGGCCCAACCTGTCCCCTCAGGGCTCCCCCCTACTGCCCTTGAGCAGGGAAGGCAGGGAGTCAGCAGGAAGAGGGAAATGCTGGGAGGTGCACACCTTCTCTTACTTCACAGAGCAGCCCTTTGTGCAGCCTAGAAGATTCTCAGGGCCCTGGAGAATGAAGACCACTTACCTGGAAAAGATTTAGAGGCCCCGGAACTGAGCTGGGCCCATTTCATACCGGAGTCCCCATTCTCTGATGACATTTTCTATGCAAATTACAGACAGTGCCCAATTAGTGGTGTGGGAAGCAGACAATGCTCGCATAACCCTGGGAGATAGGAGCCACTCACAACACCTTTACACAGATGGAGCCACTGAAGGCCAGAAGCAGAGTTACCTGCCCAAGGTCCCACAGTGGCTAAGTGGGGGAATGGGCACTGGGGCCTAAGTCTGGCTCGCTCCAGTGCCTGTGGTTTTAATCACTGTGTTATGCCACTTCAGAGCTGCTCCAAGAAAGATGATGCCCACAACCTATCATCAGGCTTCAAGTGTCAGCAGGGCACATAGTGACAATAAAAAGTATTTTGTACTGATAATGAGGTAAGAGGTGGGACTTTGGCTGAAACAGGGAAGAAGCAAAAACACCTCTCCATGAGACATGCCCACAGTGCCATGACAGTTTACCATTGCCATGGCAATGCTTGGAAATTACTGCCCCTTTTCTAGAAATTTCTGAATAACTTATTCCTTAATTTGCATGTAATTAAAAGGCAGAACTGCTCCCGCCCTGCCACTCTGGACACACTGCTACAGGGTGGCCCTGCTCTGCAGGAGCAGTCACGGCCCTGTATCACTGCCGCCTCCATAAAGTTGTTTTCTTCTACCACCAGCTCACTCTTGAATTCTTTCCTGAGTGAACCCAAAACCTTCCAGAGCTAAACCCCAATTTGGGGGCTTGCCTGCCCTGCTTCAATAGCAATTATATAGGAGGAACCTAGGCTTTCAGGCTCACCCAAGCACACAAAGTGGCAACAGGCATATGTATATACAGGGGCGTGCATGGCAGATGAAGATCTACATGTTCCTACGGACATAGTGGAGGGCAGGAAGACATATATGTGCAAACCCCTGCACTCTAAATACACACACACATACCAACACACACCCCAAACACACACACACCAACACACACATATACTAACACACACACCAACACACACATATACCAACATACACAGCAACATATGCACCAACACGCAAACACACACCAAGCACACACGTCCCAACACACACTCCCCAACACCAACACACACACACTCCAACACACACATCCCAACACACACACCCCAACACATGCACACACACAAACACACACCCCAATGCACACTCACCCCAACACACACACCCCAACACCAACACACACATGCCAACACACACCCAACACACACCCCAACATACACACACACACAAATACACCCCAACACACACACACCCAACACCAACACATGCACCCGAACACACAGCCAACACACACCCCAACACATGCACACACCTCAACACACACACAAACACCAACACACACTCCAACATATACACACACCCAACACACACCACAACACATGCACACACACACACCCCAACACACACACATCCCAACACACACACCCCAACACACACATACCCAACACACACACACAACCCAACATACACACCACAACACAGCCCTGCAGCAGAATCACTGCATCTCTCAGGCTGTGGTGGCAGCACAGAGACCCCAGTCAGACAGGGTCTGCAGCAACTCATATGCCACTCACCCCTGAATTGAAGACCCCAAAGACATCCCTGACATCTCTGACAGGTGCCTTTTGTCGTCTTTGCAGTGAGCGAGTATAGATGTCCAGCCGGCGGCACACAGCGGCCACCTGGGTCTGTGTCAGGGTGGACAGGAGCTCCTGGTGATCACCGTCCAAGCCCAGGCCACCAAGGAGGCCCGACAGGCCTGTGTCCTGCAGCCACTGGGATTCAGCTTCCCCTTCTGCCAATGGAAGTGAAACCCAGATGAACACACACAGCTCCGTACTCAGCCACACATGCTAGCCAAAGGTCCACGTGGAAGCACACACTCACCTGGACACGGGAGTTCCTACATATGATTGTGAGACCTATGAACACCAACCAGGCTCTTTGGGGGAGAAGATCTAATGAGCCACCTGAGAATTGGGGGTGTGGTTGGGGGTATTGATGGCATTAGCCAGTGTGTGGGTGTCAACCCATAACATAGCAATCCCCAGAAAACAGCGCTGGCTGAAGAAGGGTGCCACATGTTCTGATCTTGGACCCACTTCTCTCCAAAGTAATGAATCCACTTCTCCAAAATCTGGCAGAGACCACAACAGGGTCACATGGTGTCCCCTTGGGAAGTTGGTGCTGGGAGTCGATGTCCCCTTGGGAAGTCCTCCATTTCAAGACCTTGTTGGTGTTGGAATTGTCCCTTCGACTGTGCTTCCTAAGGAAACTGTCACAGTCCCATAGCAAAACCATTAATTGGAATGGGAGGGTACGGTGAGACTGCAGGATCTCGGATCCTGCCTCCAGAATTCTGCTCCAGGAATTTAGACCTCGAGCCTGAGAATCTGCACTTGGAATATCTTCCTCGGATTATTCTAACGCAATAGAATCTTCAGATCACACTTAAGAAACACTAGCCTTATCGTGGAGGAAATGGACCAGGGCTTGTACGAGAGTTCAACCGGAAGCTGAACACATGCACAAGAGGATTGGTAGTTGTACCCAGTGCTGACCAAGTTAGTCAACAAGGTAATAGTTGTTTCTAAAAACCCAAACAAAACTGCTTTTATGGCAGCCCAGGGTGTAAATAAGCCAAGTCTTCCCTCAACATGTTCCCTGCACTTGAGAACCAGAACAGATGCCTCCAGGGCAGCCACAGTGTTGCAGGTCCATTCCTGACTTGTGCTTGCTGGAGGTACTGATTCTATCACGATACCAGACATTTTTTTGTTTGTACAGGATCCTTTCAATGAGCCACTGTTTCTTGAAATTCACCTACTACTTTTGTAATTTTTCTTTCTTTTTTTTTTTTTTTGAGATGGAGTTTCGCTCTTGTTACCCAGGCTGGAGTGCAATGGCGCGATCTCGGCTCACCGCAACCTCCGCCTCCTGGGTTCAGGCAATTCTCCTGCCTCAGCCTCCTGAGTCGCTGGGATTACAGGCACGCGCCACCATGCCCAGCTAATGTTTTGTATTTTTAGTAGAGACAGGGTTTCACCATGTTGACCAGGATGGTCTCGATCTCTTGACCTCGTGATCCACCCACCTCGGCCTCCCACAGTGCTGGGATTACAGGCGTGAGCCACCGCGCCCGGCCTACCTTTGTAATTTTTATCTGTAACTAATTATCCCTGTAAAATTCCTTACAAAATATATTCCCTTACTCATGGTCTACATTTTTCACTTAAAAAATCTGTTTTAAAAGGAAACAAGATCCCCACCATAAATGGAGCATCCGTCATCACCTGCCGTGAGTAGATATTGATAGGAAAAATAAATTATTAACAATCATTCTGGTTCAAGTTGGTGTCTAAATAAAAAGAAAAGATGGTCGGGCACGGTGGCTCACGCCTATAATCCCAGCACTTTGGGAACCAAGGTGGGCAGATCACCCAAGATTAGGAGTTTGAGACCAGCCTGGCCAGCATGGCAAAACCCCACCTCTACTAAAAATACAAAAATTAGCTGGGTGTGGTGGTGAATGCCAGTAGTCCCAGCTAATTGGGAGGCTGAGGCAGGAGAATCGCTTGAAGCCAAGAGGTGGAGGTTGCAGTGAGCCAAGATTGCTCCACTGCACTCCATCCTGGGTGACAGAGTGAAACTCCGTCTCAAAAATCAAACAAATAGCCGGGCGCGGTGGCTCAAGCCTGTAATCCCAGCACTTTGGGAGGCCAAGGCGGGTGGATCACGAGGTCAAGAGATCGAGACCATCCTGGTCAACATGGTGAAACCCCGTCTCTACTAAAAATACAAAAAATTAGCTGGGCATGGTGGTGCGTGCCTGTAATCCCAGCTACTCAGGAGGCTGAGGCAGGAGAATTGCCTGAACCCAGGAGGCGGAGGTTGCGGTGAGCCGAGATCGCGCCATTGCACTCCAGCCTGGGTAACATGAGTGAAACTCCGTCTCAAAAAAAAAAAAATAAAAATCAAACAAATAAATAAATAAATAGGAAAGAAAGGGGGAAGAAAAACAATCTTGGCTCCATGCTATTCAGGATCCCTCTGCCCTGTGAGTCTAAAAAAGCTCCTGTGTTTATTTAATTGCCCAAAGTGGCTTTTCTCTGACCCACTCTGACTCCACTCCCTCTGTGTTGTTGGAAATTAGATTGCAGGCCACATCATGACGCCAGACAGGTCACATCACCACATGGTCTGTTTGCCAACCAGGGGCAAACCCAGCTGAGTTAATTACATGCCAAACAAGGAAGGGTTCCACGTGAGCCCTTTCATTCCCTCATGTGCTGAACGAGTAAGGATGGAGGACGGGAATGTGCTTGGCTCTGTTCTAGGCACTGTGGACACAGCAATGAAAAGGGCTGATGATGTCCCTGGCGTCATGGAAGTGACATTCTAGTGGGGGTCACAGATGCATGCACAGTAAAGTGCGCCGGTGATGACAGGCAGTGATCATTGCTGTAGCAATGAATAAAGTAGGGGAGGGGCTAGAGAGTGATGGGCAGGCGTGCTATTGTATGTAGGGAAGCTTGTGAAGACCCCTCTGAGGAGGTGACATTTGAGCTGAGTCCTGATGGGAGAGAACAAGTCGTGCAGATGCCTGGGCAAGACCATTTTAGGCCAAGAGAACAGTGAGGACAAAGGACTTAAGGCAGAGAAGTGCTTTTATGGTCAAAGACCAGCAAGGAGGCCTGAGGGCAGAAGTAGAATGACAGCTAGCCAGGGTGGAAGGAGAAGAGGCAGAGAGGAGGCGTGAAGCCAATTTTGCAAAGCCTGGTAAGTTACGATCTGGTGGCTTTATTACACGTCCCCAAATTCTTTGACTCTCACTCCATCAAAAGGTGGAGTCTAATTCCCATCCCCTTGAACATAGCTACATGCAGGGCAATAGAATGCAGCAGAAGCAATGATGTCTTTCTTCTACAACTGGGTCATAAACAGCAAGACAGCTTCTACCCAGCTCTCTCTTGGTCTTGTGCTTGGAACACAGCTGCCATGCTATAAGGAAGCCCAGGCCACATGTGGAGGCCTCATGCAGGTATTCCAGATGATAATCCCAGATGAGGTCCCCTGATGATCACAACCACCACCAGACACATAGATGAGAAATCTTCTAAGATGACTCCAGCCCCAGCCACCATTTGATTGTAACTGCATGAGAGACCCTGAGCAAGAACTGCCTAGCTGAGCCCAGTCAACCCTCCAACAGTGAGGTTTAGTAATAGTCATAACAATTAATTATTGTTGCATTATGCTGCTAAGTTTGAGGTGGTCTGCTACATAGTAGTAGATAATAGGGGCACATAATTGTCTATTACTCTGAGATAGAAGGAGAGATATTTGAGGATTTTGAGCAGATGGCTTAGAATTTCCCTAGAACATTAGCTCCATAGATAGGAAACTGTTTTGTGTTCATTGTTATATCCCCAGTGCTTAAAGAGTGCCTGGCACATAATAGGCACTCAATAAATATTTCCTGAAGGACTCACTCCAAGGAGGGACATAATCTAATTTGCATTACTAAAAGATTGTCTTGACTGTGGCATGGAGGACAGGCAGTAAGGAGCACAGGTGAAGTTGGGAGAGCAGTGAAGAGGATACTGCACCAGTCCAGGCAACAGAGAAAATGCTGTCATGTTCTGGTTCATGTCTGGATCCTCTCACATTTCTCTGCCTGGAATCAAGCCCTCACACTACCCCTATAGGCCCCAGCCAGGGTCCCTCACCCTCTGGAAGCTGGCCTTCATTCCCGCCACTGTCCTCTTCCCTCAGCTCATCCCTCTGTTGGATCCGTTCCACCTCCATCCAAAAGCTGTCCATGCTGGAGCTCTCCGCTGAGGACATCCAGGAGTGGGAACAGCCAGCAGGGCATGGTCGTAGGGGATTCTTCTGGGGAAGCTGATTCATTCGGCCCGAGGAGGGGCCAGAGCTGTAGCAAGTGGGGAAGGTGCAGGGAGATCAGGTTTGTGCTGAGGCTTGTGGCTTTCCAGAAATCAGCCTGGGCCCCCTGGGGGCTGAGAAAGCTTCCCAGGCATGTTTTTCAGGGTGATCTCAGCAAATTGACTGGTGACCCCTCACCCCCACGGGATCCTTGGAAACCAGCGATGGTGCAGGGGACAGAGACCACTGCTTGCTTCCACCTTCTTGGTCAAGGCGAGCAGGCTTGGACACACATATGGTAGAAGCAGCATCCACAAGAGGAGACTAAACAGCAGACCAGGTGAGGAAATGGCAGGGCAGTGCCTCATGATCAAACTGAATTTTTACCCAGAGCGTCTCCTGTCTTCTTCCCTCACACCTCCTCCTTTGTGAGTCTGGCTGCCAAGCCCTGCTTGTATCACGGGAGCATCTCACCTCCTCCCCTTTCCCAGCCAGCTCTGATTAGAGCAAGTACCTGATCACAGAGGCATTATACATCACTGAGCCAATCTCATTCCCTCAAGGTGTTGAACCAAGGACAGAGGGGTCAGTATCAGGCACATGAACCAGAAGCCGGGTGAGACTGGAGGGGCTGGAGTGGCCAGTCTTCCAAGAGAAGCAGAGAGGGGTCCCTCTGCAACCATGAGGATGTGGGGTGACCTAAGCTTGATTTTCCAGGTCCCAGCTGCAGCCTCTCATGATCCAGGCTATGTGGTTTACCCCTAGAGCCCCAACTCCTACATCCTTCCCTTTAATCCCCCTCTTCTTCCCAAGCTACACTGAATGAATTTCTGCTTCACGCAATCAAAAAATCTCAGAGTAAGACACTGCAAGTTTCCTGGTCCATATAAATGAAGTCCAGGACTTCAGAAGAGTTTAGGAACAAAATGTCTCTGCTGCCGGTCCAAATCCTTGAGAACTGGTGGGGTGGTCATAATGACAAAAATACTAGACTGGAATCTCCTAGACCTTGACACGTTAACAAATAGACCACAAACTACCCCTGCCAGAAGAAAGGGAAGAAATCCATTTTCCCAGTTTCTGCAAATAGGAAAAATGTATATTCTGTAAGTTCTATAGGTATTTAAGTGCCCATGTGGAAACAAACCAAAGGCAAAGGAAACCAATAAACATAGGTGGTTTGAACTGTCCTATTAAAAAAGAAGATTCGGCTGGGTGTGGTGGCTCACACCTGTAATCCCAGTACTTTGGGAGGCCAAGGTGGGTGAATCACCTGTGGTCAGGAGTTTGAGACCAGCCTGGCCAACATGGTGAACCCACCAAAAATTAGCCAGGTGCGATGGCAGACACCTGTAGTCCCAGCTACTTGGGAGGCTGAGGCAGGAGAATCGCTTGAACCCAGGAGGTGGAGGTTACAGTGAGCCGAGATTGCACCACTGCACTCCAGCCTGGGCAACAAGAGCAAAACTCCATCTCAAAAATAAAATAAAATAAAAATAAATAAAAAAGAAGACTTATTTGGATTAAAAAGGGAAAATCATCCACATGCTGTTTTTTTTTAATTATGCTTTTCTGTTTTTGTTTTGTTTGTTCATTTTTGTTTCCTTGAGACAAGGTCTGCTTCTGCAGCCCAGGCTGGAGTGCAGTGGCATGATACATTTCACTGCGACCTCCGCCTCCCAGGCTCAAGCCATCCTCCCACTTCAGACTCCTGAGTAGCTGGAACTACAGGCACATGCCACCATGCCTGGCTAATTTTTGTATTTCTCATAGAGACAGGGTTTTTGCCATGTTACCCAGGTTGGTCTCAACCTCCTAGGCTCAAGCAATCCACCTGCCTTTGCTTCCTAAAATACTGGGATTACAGGAGTGAGCCATTGAGCCCAGCCTTAAAACATACTTTTGTTAGCTATATTTTTCATTATAAAATCAATATGCAGTAATTGTAAAAACTCCCAGCAATGCAGAAGTGAGCAAAGTAGAAAATCAATCATTCTCCTGTGACTACGACTGCATTTTCCATGCTAACACTTCGGTGTGCAGACATCCATTTTTCTCCCCAGGCATACTTCACCTAAAGGCATACATATGGTAGAGGAAGCATTCACAAGAGGAGATTAAACACCAGGACAGGTGAGGAAACGGCAAGGCAGTCCCTCACGGATCCCACCGAATTTTCACCCGGAGCATCTCCTGTCTCCTTCCCTCACACCTCCACCTCCTCCTTTGTGAGTCTGGCTGCCAAGCCTTGGTTTTCCTGCTGGTATTACAGGAGCACCTCGTCTTTTACCCCCTCCCAATCAGCTTTGAACAGAGCAAGTACCCGAGCACAGAGGCGTCATGCATCACTGAGCCAATCTCATTCTCTCAAGGTGAATGATACTGACCAAAGGCAGAGGGGTCAGTATCAGGCACGTGAACTGGAAGCTGTGTGGGGCTGGAGGGACTGGAGAGGCCCCTCAGTGGACGTTGTTTTGGGCTCATGTCAGCCAAGACACCGAGCTCAAGTCCTCCACCAGCCCCACAAGCGTCCCATGCACGCTAAGCATTTGATAGCTCTTTGTTAAGGAGCTGGATGCTCCCAGGAGGGTCCCCACACAGTGTGTTTACTTGAAATATCCCCATCTCCTTTTGATAGAGGTTTGGGTTATTTCTATTCATCAATATCACAAGTAATACCATCTGGTACCTTTGCTCCTTTGTACGGTAGAAGAAAATCCTAGAAGTAGAATTGCTGAATCAAAGGGTTTGTGAAATCTTGTCACATTGCCTCTAAAAAAGGGCTATTTTACTGGATTTTTGTTTGTGTGTTTGTTTTGACTTTACCCCTGCTGTCTGCTTAGCCCCCCTTGTGGATCCCGTGCCCTGGAGTCCCTGAGGCTGTATTTTGCCCTCTGCCTATGACCTCACTCACTGTTGTCCCCCAACTTTCTGTAGGTGTAACCCAGGACTTAGGGCCAGCTCCATGGCTGTGTGAGCTGTGCAGTCACACAGGGCCCGGGTATAGAAGCAGCCCACACTTGGTTCAGGGCTCGACTGTCACCATCTCAAAATTCTTCACAACGTTTGAGTGAGGGGCCCATGTTCTCTTTGCACATGGCCTGTCCTGCCAGGATTTTACCATAGACCCTAGCTTATGGCTTCCTCCCAAGCACCCTGCCCACATGGAGCTCAACTCTGAGTCATAAACAATTCTATCCCAAAACAGACTCAAAACGTAGGAAAGCAAAGACACTTCCAATCAGCCAAAGCCGGAAAAAAGGGACAGGGCATGACCTCCTGGCAACATCTCGAGCATCTGCAGAAGCTTCCCTGGAGACCAAGTCTCAGTTAATTATAAAATTGGCTGTTCCGCTCTATTTACGTTTTTCGAGAAAACCGCTAGTCACTGCCTCCTGCGAATCTGTTTGGCACCCCATGCTGGGGGCACAGCTCTGTTTCTTTGGTTGCTTTGCGATTCGCTTTGAAATTACCGGCATCTGTGTGTTTTCATGACAATTTGAAAACTGCAGCAGCTAAACCAAAGCAAAATTGTCAACACTATCACCATTTGATAGCTAAGCAGTGAGAGGGCAGCAATTATTTCTTTTGATGAACATTCCGAGGAGGTCAGAGAGGGGCACAGGAAAGAACAGAAACAAAATGAAACACCCACAGTGCTGAAGGTGTAATTGCTCCAACATCACATTTTGCAGCGTGGTGGTGAGCATCCCCCTTTTAGGAAGAGAATGATAGGGAGAGAACACATCCACAAAATGTGTTCAGAGCCTCATAAATACAGCTGATGTTTTGTTTCCAGTGCTTTGTTGATGTGTAGTGTATTCAAAGAAGTATACACGTCCTAAGTATACAGTGGGGTCAATTGTCTCCAGTTGTAATTTGGTTTTTAAACCTTTACTGAGTACTTAAGACACACCCAGCAGCAAGCATTTCCAAGCATCAGTTTCTTGATTATTACTTTTTTTGAAAAGGGTCTTGCTCTGTCTGGAGTGCAATGGTACGATCATAGCTCACTGCAGCCTCAAAGTCTTAGGCTCAAGCGATGCTCCCGCCTCAACCTCCCAGGTCGCTAGAGTTACAGGTACATGCCACCATGCCCAGTTAATATTTTATTTTTGGTAGAGGCGAGGTCTTGCTATGCTTCTCAGGCTGCTCTCAAATGCCTTGATTCAAGTGATCCTCCCAAAGTGCTGCGATTCCACATGTAAGCCATCAAGCCTGGCCAAGCAACAGTTTAATACGTCAGTCCCTTGTGGGGGTGCTATTGTCTCCAATTCACAGACAAGGAAACAGACCCAACAGGATTGGGGGACCCACCAGACTTTTCCCGTTGGCAAGTGGCAGAGCCTGGATTTGAACCCAGGTTGCAAGCTCCAGTGCCAGGGTGCTTAACTGCCACACTAGATGATTTAGGGAGCCCCCAGGTATAAGTGAAGTAATCTGAATGCATTTCTTTTCCCACTGCAGACACTGTGCCCGTCTCAGATGGTACCATCAAGCACTCTGAGAGCCACTCCTCACACTCGTTCTGGTGTCTCCACATCCCAGGAACCCCTAATGAATTTTATGTTTCATACAACTCTTATATCCACTAACTTCTTACCACCACTCTGGTCCAAGCCACCATCACTTCTCAGCCTGGACCACCTCGCCGCAGTCTTCCTGTGTTTCTTCTAGATATCCTTCTCTGGTTCAGAAAGATCTACCAAGCTCACAAAACTGGCCTGTCACCCCCTCTAGGAATCCTCATGGTATCCCAGGATGCTGAGGATAAAATCCAAATGCCTTCCGAAGGCACTGGATTGACCGGCCTACGTTTCTGGTCTCATCTCCCATCCCTCCTTCTTCCCTCTGCCTGGAATGTCCTTCCCTTGTTTGCCAACTACCCTTCAGGTCTCAGATGCAAAATCACTTCCTCAAACACAACTTTTCTCATCCCTAACCTGGATTAGGTCCCTGCTATGTGCCTTTGTATAACACATTCATTGCAATTGGGACTATTTCTTTCTTGGCTTCTCTACTCACTGTTGCCTCCCCAGTGTCTAGAAC